TACTCAGCTTTGGGGAGTTTTATCTCTGTTGTACATTTCCTACTGCCTAATACCTCCTACAGGAAGATATAATGTCAGGCTCTAAAAACTCCTCCTAATGCAAGAGGAAGCAATGTGTTCACCACTAGAGAACTTAAGTATTTGTCTTAAAGTTAAGTTAGCTGATCCCTCTTACTAGCTCCTCTTCAAATACACCCATATTCTGCAACTCTCCAGGTACAACAGTGTCGCCTTCTCCAAGGATTGGGATCGATGAAGTTGTTTTCCCATTCAGGCAAAACTACGTATTCCATATTTCTCTGCAAGCTTTTTTTCTTTTTTTTTTTTCCTTCCCCCAACCGGTAGCATTTGCATTAGTGACACTGCTAAAAAAAAAAAAAAAAAAAAAAGTAAAAAAATAATAAAAACCCTGCAAACAGGTATCAGATGCCAGGCCTTTTTTCCTGCTCTCCACAGGAACAAATCAAAAATATTTAGAGCTACAAAGATGATCAGGGAACTGGAATGTATTTCCTATGAGGAGAAGCTGAGAGAGCTGGGCCTGTTCAGCCTAAAGAAGAGAAGGCTGAGAGGGGATCTTATCAGTGTGTATAAATATTGTGAAGGTGTCAAAAGGATGGGGCCAGGCTCTCCTCAGCAGTGCCTAGCGACAGGAGACAAGAGGCAACGGCACAAACTGAAGCACAAGAAGCTCCGCCTGAATTTGAGGAAAGGCCTAGTTCAAAGCCAGACTGCAATATCATACTCCTCATAGCAACCCCTCTTTCTGTGTGGGGAGGCAGGCAGGGCAGTCATCATGTCCCAGGCCTGTCTATCAACCTTTTCTCTGTTTTCTAGCATTTACCATCTCCACCTACCCAGCTTTTCAGCACCACCGAGGCTTCTCTGAGCTCCAAAACACCCATTCCACCAGGCCCTGCAGCTCACCAATGCCGTTGAGGCCGATGAGGCCGTAGCGCCTCCCTGAGTTCAGCTCCAGCTTTGTATCGCTCAGCAGCTCCTGGCCGTGGAAGGTCAGCGAGAGATTAATGATGTGCACATCAGTGCTGTTGGGATGGGAGGCCAGAACTCCTGTCACTGCACGGGCAGCAGCTTTCTTCAACTCAAAGTCCTCCAGTTCCTTTGTAAGAGCATCCACCTCTGCATGCAGGGACAAACCAAAATGTTACTAATTTACAGTCACAAGCGAAGCCAGAGCCCCTATCTTGATATTCTGACAGGCCCAGGACCCCTGGAAACAAACTCTACTTTCCCACTTCTACAGAAACATTAAGGAAGCCCAAAAGTTTTTAGGATGCTTTTCCTTCTTTTTTCTTCAGCTCAGCAGATGGTTATATATGGTCTAAGAGCAGTTTTCACCTAATCTATAAATAAAGGCTGACCATTAGAAGCAGCTGCCAGAAGAGTTTGCCTGTTGCCAGAGCACAAGAGGACTACCACTCTCCGCAGGAAGGCCTGGCATGGGGGAGCTAAGCAGTGCTGCTTCTTAAGGAAAAGCACTGGCATAAGGTGAATTTAGCTAGGAAACAAGTGACAGGAAAGAACAAAGAAGCGGCACTCGGAAAACCCTTGTCAATTATCAAGAAGCAACTGGCTCCCTCTTCATCTCCTCCTACAGCTTGAGCAGACATTTCCTGCCCTGCTGATCTTCTTGTCCTGAAACTCTGAGTTATAATCTGACTTTCATTATTTGGGGAGATCCTGCCATTTAAAGAGAGAAATGCCCTTGGGCATCTTAGCGAGCTCCAGCTTCTCAGAGCAGAGACTTGTTCACATCTTGGGGTTCAGATCAGTGGGTGATACCAGCCTGGCTGTAAAAACCTAATTCCTAACAAAACCAGCCAAACAGTAAAGTTACTATCACCTTGTGGGAAGGCAAGGAGGAGCTGCAGACCATGCTGACACGGGCCCCCTTTAACAGATCTTACAATGTACACAGAGCACTTGCATAAACAAGAAACCAGATGAGCGACAAGAGAGGCACGGAAGTTTTCTGTGATGTCCAGCTATTTCTCAAGGAGCTGCCAGGGCAGAGTATGCATTTAGTGACCCACTTACCCTGCCGTCCAATTCCCACAGCGGTGTAGCAGCCTCATCGAGCATGCCCAACGACCCTGCAGCCAGGCCAAGGCCAAGCAGTGGCCCTGGGCCCAGCGCCTGCTGCGGCAACCTGAGCCACCTGCACCTGCTCTATTGCGTTAGCCCATAGCAATGCGCCCGCCGCTGCAGAGAGCGCTGCCGGCCTCGCCAGGCTGGGCCAGACTGGGAGCAGGACCTCGGCGGGCCGGGCCGGGCCGGGCC